AGACACAGCTTTAGAAGATTCTCTCCTTCTAACTAAGGAAGCAGACTGGAGAAGCGCCTGTTGTCCAAGCTACTTCCAACACAAATTCCTAGAAAAACATACACCTCTTTTAGAGAATTTTCTTCTGAAGGAGGCCCCATGCTTAGACAGTAATATGAAGACTTCAGTGAATAGGTTCAGAAGTTAATCACAACAAGATTAACTCATAGACTCACTGACTTTCTTTCTTGTTAGCTGAGTTGAGAAATGCCTTAGACATCTCGAAGTCTTTCATGAATGCAATGCTTTACCTCTTGATTTTTTACTCTTTCCAAGATTAAAGTTTGTGATATACTTAACTCAGGATTTAGGCAAACTGAAGGTGAGATGAAAGGCAATAACCAAATAAATTCATTTAAAATTATTATTTTTTTCATTTAAAATTAAATTGTGATATGTTGTAGGTAATTTTTAGTTTAGTTCTCACTTCTCTGTTTCCTGTTTTTTATTAAAGTTGAGTATCTTTCAGACATATGAGAAATGTAGAACATTATTTGGCATTTAGCAACTTCACACACTGGAGATAGCACCTTAAATTTCTCTGATGATACATTTTGGAATTGTTTTCTAACCTCAGCATATTTGTTGGTGTCCTAATTCTGATGATATTATCCAGAAGTGACCGTGAAGAACACATTCTGTAGATTGACTAATTGGAGATAGCCTGCTCTTTGAACTTTACCCATAGTGCTGCATGGTAATTACAATTGCAATTCATAGTAACATGTTTCAGAAGAGAAGGAAGTCTCTGAACACGCATGAGTATCCCCTCACTAATCATAAGCTATCACCAAAAGCATAAAATCATGGAATTTTAAATCAATAATTGATGCTAAATGTCATCTAGTTGAGTCCCAAAGAAATCAGGGCCCAATTTTCTCAGATGAAAAAGAAAATTACAATTGTTCTCAAAAGAGCATAATAATTTTTCTTCTGAAAATATAAAGCACATTGTTTAAAAATAAATGGAGTGTTTCACACTTAGGTTTGTAAAATATAATAGCTTGAATTGGATTTTCAAATATGCTGTCACCTAGAAAACTGATATGAGGCCGTTTCGACTCCAGCAGCCCAAAAGTGGATTTTAGTGCAGCATTAAAACAAGTAACCTTCCCAAAGCCAACAATGGGAACTCAAAGAATGACTTTCAGGCACTCCCAGATAGCTGGAAATGTGAGTTTGCAGCTAGAGTGGGGAGAAGTGGGAAGGAAGCAGTCAAGAGAACCGAAGAGGTAATTTTGTCAGATTCACTGCTCAGCACATTCACAGAAAGCAGCATTTGTTAGTTCCTCTCCTTTCGTGATCCAACATTATCCACTTTTCTCATGCTTACATCAGCAACTAAACACACAACCTCTTAGTGTCCTGTTTGTAATCCATTATTTAAGGAGCTCATGCATAATCCATCACTACCATTGCCTCCTTGCTCATAGTACTACTGCACATGCAAGCAGTACTAAACCAGGAACTATATAAGAAATGACGACAAGAAAAAGTTATTCATCTTAAGCAATGGAAAAGGGCTATATGCATCTATTGGTTGACCATCTGGAGGTGACCCAGGTTGCAAAAAAGTGCATTATTTGAAAGGCAATATTTGCATTGTCAAAAGTGTGCATAGGTAGACAGACATGGGTTTACTTGGACTTTTGGGAAATTAATTAACCTACACGGTGCTCAATTTCCTCACTGGTGAAATAGCTATTTTCATACTCTCCTAGTTGGGATATTGTGAGCATTCAAGAAGACATATGTAAAACTCTGGCCCAGTGTCTAATCCATCCACAGAAAGGACTCAATAGATTGTAACAGAAACAGCAAGAGTGTCCATACGAAAAGCATTTCCTTAAAAATTCTTCTAAGCCTAGAAACAGTAATCCAGGACTTGGCTTTAAAGCAGATAAACTAATGACTTCCCTAGAACAAGGTTTTCCTAGTAGTGGTCTGAGTCTATCAGTTTTCCATATTAAAGATTTCTTGTGGGGGAAAAATGCAGTTGAAGGCTTCCTACAGTCATGTAAGTTTTAGATATTGTAGGTTAAGAAAGACCAGTATTTCCCTACTAAATATTTCTTTGGGATATGCTAATGAGCATTGAAAATGTCCAAGAGAGTAATATAGTATGAAGCGCACCCCAAAAACCTATTCACAGCAGAATTTTTTAGGGAGTATAGTATGGGACAAGTGATTTATGGAAAAAATACTGGCAATTGCTGCCATAAAGATACAAGATCACAAAAAATTAATTTGACAATGTAAATGGGAATATTGCATGAAACTCAGAATTCTTCTTTAATAATTTTATTGACAATTAGCAACTCTGCAAATCTCTTTCTGACTTTTTATTTGTATAGTCTAAACATATACCTAAAAATTCAAACATCCGTTGTCCTGAAGGAGCCATGGGTTATGCCAGTCCTTGTCTCCGAAACTGTTGCCAGCACAGCTCGGGGACTTGGCAGTGCCATTAGCTCAGTACTGAGCCACAAAACCAGAAATCTGATCTCCAAAGGGACCATGCTGGGTGGGCCAGAGCAAAGCAAGGTTTCAGTAGAATGAACTAAATTCCCTTCTGCTCAAGTCTGTGCAGAACTTTCTTGCCTTACAAAGTCGTATGAAAACATATCTCTTAGTTTCTGCTTCTAATTCTGTCTCCAATAAAGAAGAAAAAGCAAGTCAAGAGGACCAAATGGGGAACAAACTCTAGGCCACCCTTGATAGCAAAACTATTCCATGTCATAGTTCAGGCAAAATCCAAGACTCTCAAGTCAAGCAAACAAGTACTAAAGTGAGTCACTGGCCCACAGATTGTACTAATCACCAAATCCTGAAACCCACCTTCTCTTGCTGAATTTGAGCAGATAGTAACCAAGAATACAAATGGAGAAAGCGGGTTTGGCATGTGCAAAAGCATTAATGGGTGAAAGTAGCTCCCTAATTGTTACTTAAGGGACACTGTGGGCTTACATCTTCCCCAGAAATATCTCTACCTTAAAGCTTATGACTGGCAGTCTTTCATGCTTTTAAGTTTTTAAGGCCTGAGCACAAAACTGCAAATCTCCCTTTGAGGGATGGCACATGAACCTGTGCATCTCACACAGAACAAGTACTCACTGAGTAGCCACTATATGCTGGGCACTGTTCTAGATGCTGTTGATACAGCAATTGATTAAAAAAAAACTAAAGTCTCTTCCCCCTTAAGAATTTGTATTCTACCATATCATAGCTATCAACAATAGAATGTTTCTGATGTTCATTTTGATGTTACAGCCTACTTGGAACCAGATTAGAATTAGTTTGTCAAAGCAAGTTCAAGAGATGATGAACACTGCCCAGGTAGAGCAGGCCAAGACACGGCCATTAGACGTGGCCATTATGACTGCCAGGAAAGGATGAAGTCTAAGACCCTGGGCACTGAATCCCTGGGAGTATGTGTGTGTGTGTACGCATACTTACACACGCCACGTTTGGCATGGATACTGGAAGTAGTCATGCAAAGAAAACTGAGACAAGTTTGCCAACCTCAAGATTTATCCTAGGCCTGCCTCAAACAAAAATGGTATACAAAAGAACAATAAATTGATACCCACAAAGTACTGTGCCAAAGCAACATTGCCATCTCTATTGTGAGTCTGATGAGTTTCATTAACTATTTACACAGGCTTTGCTAATTGCAAAGGGCACTTGGGGAATTCTAAGAGGGTGCATACTTTTAATGGGAGAATAGAAATTCTGCATCTGACAACACAGAGTTTTAAAATAAGCTGGGGGAAGCAAAATGATGCAAATGGAAATGTGACAGGCCCTAGTGTCCGCCTGGTTTAAAGAGAGCCCCTGAGGTTGTGCTTGGGCCCATGACCCTTGTCCCAGCCCAGCTGTCTGAACCAGGGGGGACACTGGATCCCATCTGGAAAAATTAGATTATCATTCTTGGTAGTTTGTAATTGGAGCTATACAACCTTAATTTAGTGTGTAATACTCTTTTATCTAGAGTATCTCACTAATTCCAAAAAAAAAAAAAACTTATGAGGGATGGCTGACCCAGTTTTAAAAACCTAATATTGAAGGTCATGGAATAACGTCTTCTTCTCCCCTATCCCACAGGCGAACTGAAAAGTAACTCATAATAAAATGGAAAGCAGTATGAAATAGGTGTAACGCAACTGTTCGTGTATCTGATGGTTTTGCAAATACTGATTTTCGTATCATGGAGAGGCTCTAGACTGTTTTCCAAAGATGGCTAAAACGGTATCATCTCCCATTCCCTATGCTCTTCTAAGACCTTGCCATTCATTTTCCCATTAAGAGGTAAAGTCCAGTTCGCCTCCTGTTGAATCTGGTTGGGCTTGTGACTCGCTTGTAACCAAGAGAATGCAGCAGAATTAGTGCTGTGTGATTTCTAAAGCTAGGTCACAAAAGGCAAGTCGGCTTCTGCCTTCTAAGCTGAGGCATTCGCCTTCCCCTGGACCCCCCCCCCCCCCCCCCCCCCCCCCCCCCCCCGCCTCACTGAGCATTCTGTGCCCCGTGGAAACAGCTCCTGAGCATCCTTTGGAGTTCTGTGCCCCTGTGGAAACAGCCTGACCATCCTAAGACCACCATGTTGTGAGGAGGCCCAGGTCACATGGCGAGGTCACGTAGATGTTCCAGTGACAGCCCCAAATGAGTGTCTGCTGACAACCAGCATCAGCCACCACACACACAGATGATAACATCTCCAGGACTCTAGTTCCCAGGTGCCTGCATGTCCCCAGGCTCTCAATCCTCCAGCGGAGGCCCAGACACTGTGGAACACGTGCAACGCATGCCATCCCTGTCATGTCCTGTCAGAGTTCCTCACCCAAGTATTCAGGAGCATATAAAATGGTTGTTCTATACCACTACATTTTGGAGTTGTTGGTTTCCCAGCAGCACAAAATGGAACAGAGGCTTAAGTTTACTCTTACCCTAGAATTCCAGGAGATCCTACTGTAAAAATTCTCTTTCACTCTTCTGTAGATTTTGAGGATTTCTAGCAGGTTGTGAGGATTTCTATCACTTGCTGTCAAACCACTGAAATTAATATAAAATTGGTATTCAAAATGGGGTTGCAGAGAACAAGTGTCAGAGTGGATCGGGACCAGCAGGAAGTTACTGTCCTGGGGTGGAGAGCCGCAATGCATGTTTAACGATAGCAGTATGTCTTGTTTCTTGGGAATCAGATGTTTTACTTCATCAGATAGCTAGACTTTAGAGGAATTCATCATTTTAAATGTCAGAATATCGGATTGAGTTATTGATTCCTTATGGCCTTCAGTAAAGGTCAGAGAAGTGGCAAGCCTCAGCCAACGCTGCTCAGCGGAAGTCAACAGAAGAGAGAATAGAGGACAGCCCACTGACGCAGAGAGCTAGAGCACAGCACAGCATCCGCTATTAGTCTGGCCAAACTATGGTGGCCACCATGGGTGTGTGTGTGTGTGTGAGAGAGAGAGAGAGAGAGACAGAGAGAGAGAGAGAGAGAGAGAGAGAGAGAAAGACACAGGGAGACAGAGATTATGAACTGATTGAAAAGATTACCAGCAGTTGGATTCAGGATACACAGGAGGAGCCAGAAATGTTAGCAAGCCCTTCAGCATGTACCTTCTCCACCACCAAGTAAAAGTGATGATTCCTCCCCTTGTAATACTCGGTTGTCTGTGATGCAACATTTTGGCAAGACTCCAAAGCAGATTTGCGAAGAAATGCACCCTGAAATCCGTGCCAAAACTCCAGTCTACAATATCGTGCTCAGGCTCTGAGGTCATTAAGGAAAAAAATCATGAACATAGGTGGAACCCCAGAATTTCCTCTAAAAATCAGAAGACTCACAGCTATGGCTTAGCCCTGAAAGTACAGCCAGCCAGCAGATTTACCAAGATGTTTCAACACTATTCCGGACAAATACAATTCTCAAAAATGAAACCGGCACATGGCTGACCAGAGTTTTACAAGAATGGTCATGCAAGAAAAATCCCTCAAACTAACAGCCCCCTGAAATGTTCAAGCATAAGTATAAACCATGTTGGTAATGGCTGATTGTTACTAAGACCTCCCTGTCCCACCTCCACAGAGAAAACCCCCCAGATGCTCTGGAAGAACAATGGCCAAGCAAAATTCTCCCGGAGGACAGAGTCTGTGGCAGTCCTTCTGGGTGACCAGGTAATTTACTTTGTCACCACATAGATTAATCAGCAAATTAACATTTATGAGCATTGTCAGTCATTTCATTTACTTCATCATCCCTGTAGAAGCCTCCAGTCTCAACCAACAACATGCAACATGATCTTGGCGATTTGTTCAGCCTTCCTCCTTTATTTTATTTTATTTTTTTTTTTTGAGATGGAGTTTCACTTGTCGCCCAGGCTGGAGTGCACTGGCACGATGGCTCACTACAACCTCTGCCTCCTGGGTTCGAGGCATTCTCCTGCCTCAGCCTCCCGAGTAGCTGAGACTACAGGTGCCCACCACCATGCACAGCTAATTTTTCTACCTTTGGTAGAGACGGGGTTTCACCATGTTGGCCAGGCTGGTCTCGAACTCCTGACCTCGGATGATCCACCCTCCTTGACTTCCCAAAGTGCTGAGATTACAGGCATGAGACACCATGCCCGGCCTATTAATTTAATTTATTATTATTTTTTTTTTTTTTGAGACAGGATCTCGTTCTATCACCCAGGCTGGAGTGCAGTGCAGTGGTACAATCACAGCTCATAATAGCCTTAAATTCCTGAGTTGAAAGATCCTCTCACCTCAGCCTCCAGAGTAACTGGGGACTACAGGTGCATACCACCATCCTCAGCTAATTTTTTTTTTCATTTTTAGTGAAGATGGGGTCTCACTATATTGCCCAGGTTGGTCTCAAACTCCTGCCCTAAAGTGATCCTCCCACCTCAGCCTTTCAAAGTGCTGGGATTACAGGTGTGAGCCATTGCACCCACCTTTTTTCTCACTTTGAAAATGTAAAAAGTTAAAACAGAAATAGGGGAAAAATGACTCTCACCCAGAGGTAACGGGCTCCAAGAACAGTGGCTCCAAAAAGTCTCTCGAGATGAGTGATGGACTTTTCCTCTGTCTCCTCATTGTGGGGGCGGGGGGCAGTGAGTGTGTTCGCAGTCGTGCTTGTATCCTATTACATGGGATGCCTTTTGATGTGTGGGATGACAGGTGTGTGTCGTGGAGGGAGAGATGCTGGTAGTGTCCTGGGTACTGTTCCCTGGAGCAGAACCTGAGAAGGGGATGTTTGTGCAAGACATTTCTTAACGGAGTGCACTCACGAGAAACATGTGGGGGCTGGTGGGAGCCGTATCTGGAAGGGAGGAAAGAAAAGTGAAAAAGGATGTGGTCTCCGATGCAGTCGGGCTTCAGCCTGAGCCCATGGGGCCTCTGGGGAATAAACCGCACCACAGAGTCTGCTCAGTCTTGGGGCATGAACGCAAGGTGGGTTTTTTGTTTGTTTGTTTGTTTTCTGTATTTTTTTTTCCATAAAGCAGTCAGTTATTGGCCCAGCACTACAGGAGAAGATATAAAGAGCCTAGGTCCGTTCAAGGGGAGGGACTTCCCTATCCCGGGGACACTGGCTCCACTTTTCAGCCACCTGCCCAAGATGCCTAGGCCTGCAGGAGGGACCAGAGGCAGATGATGTAGACAATGATGATGACACAGAGACAAGTGAGAAATAATGGAAGCAGCTCCATTCCCCCGGCAGCTGTGCAGAGAGGCCTGCAGGTCCAAGCCATCAGTAGCAGCCCCTGGGATATCCAGGACATCAGCACATAGAACCAGTAAAAGGGTCCTCCCTCATAGCGACGCATGTCATAGACTCAGATTTATACAGACAAAAGCTGAGTAAACCATGAAAAGAGTCTCTGGTATTTTCAACAATATCACCACAGAGGAACCGTATTGATTTCCTTGTAAGTATTTAGAATTTTCTCTCTCATTTAAAATGTCATATCCGGTTTTTATCATCTCTTTTAAATTTGTAGAAGAGCATTTCCCAAACTCTACTAAAGTGACAGATTTCCATATCCATCTATCCCGCCAACATCCAGGCATGTGCAGGGTACTGGGAGAGGCAACAGGTCCCATATCAGGGGACTTCACAGTGTGATGGGGATATTCAACCTGCACCTGCAAGGAACAGGTGCAGGTTGAATATCCCCATCCAGCTCTTGGCTCTTCCAGTCATTTAGGCTCCTGTCTTTCCTGGAGGAAGCCTGGTAGTATCTCCTGGGGACACTGGGTCGACTTTTCAGCCACCTGCCCAAGATAGATGGGACCAGGGGCCAGATGATGTGGACAATGATGATGTCACAGAAAGAAGTAAGATATAAAGGAGACGACTTAGCGGGCAAGGTGATGTGCTGGGTTCTGAAGAAGATGAGAAATACCAGGCCAGGCTGTGCTTTGCCTCTTGGCCTCTCCATTTTCCTTCCTGACTTTTTTCAGCCACAGTGAATCTCTAAGACCTAGTTTTGGCAGAAGGAAGTACCAGAGGGAGCTGAGTTGTTGAACATTATGTGCGATCACGTAATAACTGCAATCAGAAGGGAAACACGCAGAGTTCTGGAGAAAGAGAAATTTGCGTTTGTGGACACCTGCTGGGAGCTAGGCACTTTCAAACAGTTCCTGTCACCTAACTTAAGTATCGTTACTCAAGTGTTATTTAACTTAAGTATTATGCAGAGAAGTCGAATCATTAGAAAAGTGGCGTGACTTATACAAGCAACATAACAGCTAGAATTTAAACGTAAAACTGCCCGATTCCAAATCCACACTCTTTCTACTACAAGGCCTTGCCCCCTCCTCTGGGCTACACCGACATCAGAGTTGCAGGGGAAGAGGCCATGTCTAACGAGAGCCCCCTTTACACGCCAACCTAGTCATGGTCACGGTGGTGTGATGACTGAAGACAAAAAGGAACCAGGATGAAAAATTTGTCTCTGAGGACCCAGAGTAATAAAATCCCAGAATAAGGAAGGCCTTTAGCGGATATATGGCCTGCTGTCCCGTTCAGTCTAGAAAACGCCTCCTCAGGGTCCTGCAGACGGTCACCTCCCTCTGTGGGAGGACGTCCAGTGGGAGGGGCGCCACTTCCCCAGGCCTCCCTGACCCTAATGTCAGAAGGTGGTTTCTTAGCTTGAATCAAAATCTCTCTCCCTGTGTCTTCTCATTGCTTCCTGTTCTTTTCTCTGGAGCAACACAATGTAAACAAGGTTATTTTCTTTTGTGCACATCAGAATTTCATATTCAAAGGCCATCATCAGCTCTCTTGTTAGAAGGGGTCCGGGCTGAACACCCTCTTTTCTCTCAATGATCCCAGCTATGACACAGTTTTCTCACCTTCAACATCCTGGAGGCCCAAGACTATTCACATACGCCACATATATCTCTAATCGCATCCTGTGATTATGACTTGGATAGAAGATAAACACTATTTCCATAATGATGAACGTAAGACATTTGAGATTTTTTAATTTTTAGAGTTGTTATTTTGAATTTTTTACCTTCTTAAATCTAAAAAATACTCCCTTTAGAACTCTTCATTTCTTTCCTAATTTCTCTATCCTACTCTCAAGCAGGATCCACCTGCCAAACGCATTGCTCATTAGGCTGTGATACCAAACTGCACAGGAAAAGCTTAATCTTCAAGAACCTGTAGCTGTCCTCCTAGACATCCATATCTCCTTGCCCTAACCCTTTGATTTATGTTACTGTTTTTAAGTCCCATTTTCCAGGCATTTGCTAAGCCAGTAGAGAACTGGGCCAGTTTCCAAAGTCCTGCTAAGAAGTTAATGTTGAATAAAATTTTTTTCAATGCAGCAATTGATCCGCCATCATTGCCTGTTTGGGCTTCCCAACCACAGCTCCAGGCAATCAAGGAGAAGGTTTATGCCATTTAAACATCTCCCTTCCAGCAAAAGAATCTGGATTGCTTTGTCAGAAAAGTAAAAAAGAGACATGTCCAAATTATAACTCATCTCTCTACCTTCAGCCCTATCAACTATTTTAAGTATCATAACAACTACTCACCAATTGCCTCAAGTCTCATTTTCTCAATGTGATTTCAGTCACTTGGTCTTCAAAGATTATTTTACAGAGCAGCAGACAGGTCCCAGACCAACTCTGTTCATTTCTCAAACTCCTGTTCCATGCCCAGAGGCATTCCCTTTCCAATGACTAGACAGGGGCTGGGGACATTTAGAGGCCTGGGTACATTATCTCAAGGCTGGACAACTATGAAGAGTCAACCCAGTCCCAGAGCTCCTTGCAGAATTGGCTGAGGCCGCTGTTGCAATCCCATTGAGGTTCAAATATTAATACCTCCTGGCCCAACCCAGTCGTCTCACCTCCAACAGGTGTTGTTCCTCAGCCTTAGTGGGAAATAGTGTTATTTCCCATTAAATCAGCTATCTGCATGTAAATGTCACAGTCTGTTTCCCATGAAAACCAAACAACTATACACACACACACACATACACACACACACACATATATACACACACACATATATGTGATAGAAGAAGGAAAGACATTCAAAGTTGTAGGTGACCTAGATTGGACACATATAGTTGCCTCTTATTGTCGGTGGGGGATTTGTTCCAAGACCCCCCTCAAATACCAAAAGCCATGAATGCTCAAGTCTCTAATACAAAGTATTGCATATAACCTATGCATATCCTCCCATGTGCTAACTCAGGGGAAGACCACGAAGAGCCTGTGTTCTCTTTAATATTCATTTTATTCTTCGTTTTAAGGCATTTGCCTCAAAACCCTGCAAGGTTTCTTATCACTGCCAAATTGGAGCCTGTGAGATTCTTCGGAAGAACCATTCATATTACAAGTTTATATTCAAGTGTCAGTCACTGAGGGATTATTGGGGGCAGTCTGACTTTTTAATGATCGCCATTCTAACTGGTGTGAGATGGTATCTCACTGTGGTTTTGATTTGCATTTCTCTGATGGCCAGTGATGATGGGCATTTTTTCATGTGTCTCTTGGCTGCATAAATGTCTTCCTTTGAGAAGTGTCTGTTCATATCCTTCACCCACTTTTTGATGGGATTGTTTGATTTTTTTCTTGTAAATTTGTTTAAGTTATTTGCAGATTCTAGATATTAGCCCTTTGTCAGATGGGTAGATTGCAAAAATTTTCTCCCATTTTGTAGGTTGCCTGTTCACTCTGATGGTAGTTTCTTTTGATGTGCAGAAGCTCTTTAGTTTAATTAGATCCTATTTGTCAGTTTTGGCTTTTGTTGCCATTGCTTTTGGTGTTTTAGTCATGAAGTCCTTGCCCATGCCTATGTCCTAAATGGTATTGCCTAGGTTTTCTTTTAGTTTCTTTCAGGGTTTTTACAGTTTTAGGTCTAACATTTAAGTCTATAATCCATCTTGAATTAATTTTTGTATAAGGAGTAAGGAAGGGATCCAGTTTCAGCTTCCTACATATGGCTAGCCAGTTTTCCAGCATCATTTATTAAATAGGGAATCCGTTCCCCATTTCTTGTTTTTGTCAGGTTTGTCAAAGATCAGATGGTTGTAGATGTGTGGTATTATTTCTGAGGACTCTGTTCTGTTCCATTGCTCTATATCTCTGTTTTGGTACCTGTACCATGCTGTTTTGGTTACTGTACCCTTGTAGTATAGTTTGAAGTCAGGTAGTGTGATGCCTCCAGCTTTGTTCTTTTGACTTAGGATTGTCTTGGCAATGCGGGCTCTTTATTGGTTCCATATGAACTTTAAAGTAGTTTTTTCCAATTATGTGGAGGAAGTCATTGATAGCTTGATGGGGATGGCATTGAATCTATAAATTACCTTGGGCAGTATGGCCATTTTCACCATATTGATTGTTCCTATCCACGAGCATGGAATGTTCTTCCATTTGTTTGTGTCCTCTTTTATTTCGTTGAGCAGTGGTTTTTAGTTCTTCTTGAAGAGGTCCTTCACATCCCTTGTAAGTTGGATTCCTAGGTATTTCATTCTCTTTGAAACAATTGTGAATGGGAGTTCATTCATGATTTGGCTCTCAGTTTGTCTGTTATTGGTGTATAGGAATGCTTGTGATTTTTGCACATTGATTTTATATCCTGAGACTTTGCTGAAGTTGCTTATCAGCTTAAGGAGATTGTGGGCTGAGATGATGGAGTTTTCTAAATATACAATCATGTCATCTGCAAACAGGGACAATTTGACTTCCTCTTTTCCTAACTGAATACCCTTTATTTCTTTCTCCTGCCTGATTGTCCTGTCCAGAACTTCCAACACTATGTTGAATAGGAGTGGTGAGAGAGGGCATCCCTGTCTTGTGCCAGTTTTCAAAGGGAATGCTTCCAGTTTTTGTCCATTCAGTATGATATTGGCTGTGGGTTTGTCATAAATAGCTCTTATTATTTTGAGATATGTCCCATCAATACCTAATTTTTTGAGAGTTTTTAGCATGAAGGGCTGTTGAATTTTGCCAAAGGCCTTTTCTGCATCTATTGAGATAATCATGTGGTTTCCGTCTTTGGTTCTGTTTATATGATGGATTACTATTATTGATTTGCATATGTTGAACCAGCCTTGCATCCCAGGGATGGCAGAGACACAACAAAAAAAAATTTTAGACCAATATCCCTGATGAACATCGATGCAAAAATCCTCAATAAAATACCAGCAAACTGAATCCAGCAGCACATCAAAAAGCTTATCCACCATGATCAAGTGGATTTAATGTCTTAATGAACTATTTAGTTTATAATTAAGAATTTCTTGGCATTGCATGTTGAATCTGTTGAGATTATTTGGAGAGTTATGAGCTTTGCAGGAGATATTCATAACTTATTATATATCTAGAATGGGTTAAAATGGATTTCTCACCTTGAGGATAAACATTTATGCCTTCATTTTCAGTAGCGTAGTAAAATAAAGACAAGGGAGAAATAAGGGGCTTGGTTTCACTCCTGCCTGCACCTCTAAATTGTTCTGCAAACTTTTCCAGGTTACTGTGCTTCCTGGCATCAGTTCGTATCTGTGGAATGAAGAAGGTGTCCTTGATGTAATTCCAAATCTAACACTCTATAACTGTAGGATGACATCCCTAGCCCTTTTATATAATTGTTGTAACTATTAAAGAATAAAAGCATAGAACAGGAAACGCCTAAAAAGACTGCTTCTACAGATGAACTATGGAAATACCTCCTTAGTGACACTTTAAAACAATCTGCACTGTACTAAGAAAACAGCACTTTGAACTATCTGTAGACATAGCAACTAACAGGATGTCTGCCACACAGCACCAGCTGAATACGTTCTTGATAAATGAGTAAATGATTGTTACGTGAATGCATGTTTCCATTCCTGTCATTATCCTACAACAACTCCAAAGGGAATACAATAAATTCTATCCAATGAATGAGCCCATGTCTCAGATATTTTACCTTCATCTGTTTACTAATCTACCTCACAAAAAATGATATCCTTGTGGAAAATATTTCAATAGAGAAATAATATCCAACTGTGATCTAAATGTTTTAATTAAGCCAACATGTAGTTTAAATTGTTGAGTTGCTGATTAGAGCGATCTTTTTAACTTGTTTTGGAGTGAAAGTGCTTTCAAAATGCTTCCATAAGAATTGGAGGGCTGCAAACATATGGCCTATGTGGTGAAATCCAGCTCCTGTTCTTAGACTTAGCCAAGGACAGTTTTTAAAGGGATTCAATGTTTGACATTTTGGTGGGTTCAGCATAAATGCAGAGGGTTGGGGCCCATCTTACACCCAAGGGTGTTCTTACACATATTTTAATGCCTTCACTTTGAAACTGACCTGATCTCTTCTCACTGGCCTCGTGGGATGGGTTTTGCTGTCTCCACAGTCTCAGCTTCGAGTCCCAGCTCCACTACTGACTGGATATATTTTCTTATCCATAAATTGTAGATAACCACAGGAGATTATTATATGAGGTTATACCAGTAAAATGCTTAGCAAGGTACTTAACATATATTAATGATTTCTATGAATATGTTTGCACAACTTGTTATGATTATGGTAAAGCATATCATTAAATCCTTGGAATTATTTTTTAATCTATTAATAACTTTAGATGATTACTAAAAGTTCTGATTTTGAAATTTTTAAGTCTACATCCCCTCTTTTATAAACTGATACACCATCAAGTAGATTTTTGTGTCTAAGATGTAATTATTTCCACTGTATTTTCAAATATCCAACTGGAAAGATCATGGAGAAGTATTGCCCAAGGAAGCTGGATATCCCAAAAGCTGGGAGCCAAAAAATAATACAGAGATAAATATCTTGTAGTTGAATACTGACTAAAGAAATGATAACATATCAGTGTACTTAAAACACTGTAGAGAAGCAGAGAAGCTAAAAATGAACTGCTTCATGTGTGAATTCTATTGCTACTCGGAAATGCATCTAAGAAACATTACATGAAAAGAGCAAAATATCAAGGACTCTGAACCACCACTGTCTACAGTGGGCTGTCAAGCCAAGTGTAGTTTATGCATCTCTCCACAGTTGCATTGTTGCCTACAGTCCCACAAGGTGCCTTCATGCTCCATGGCAGCCGTAAATAACAATGTCTTCAATCACACACCTATAAAAGCAAGGCAACTAAGAGTTCACACCCCTCAGGGCTAAAGGCCTGGATTATCCCATTGGTCAAACCACCCAGACCCACTGAAATGTTGGTTAGTGGTGAAGAATCTTGAATGGGCAGTAAAGAAAGAAAATGGTAAATACTAATTTGGGTCCCAGGACCAGCTGCATGAGGGGACCCTGTAGCTTGGGTTACAGACCCCCTTTCAATCTTTACAAGAGACTGCAAATGACCCTCTCCGCTTTCTGGGAAAAAGTGAGGTCATCTTGTTCTCTGGCCATTTACTTTGTAAAGAACAGAGGTGTGCCAGGTTGCTTAAATCAATTCTCCAAATGTGGTACTCAAATAGCAGCACATTTTCTTACTGCATCTGTTCTCTGGATGACAGTCTTCCCCCCAATTCAAATAAATCTATTACAGACTGAAGTATGAAAATCAGGTACATTTTTGAGATCCTAAGAAAAAGCGAAGGGAATCTCATAGAGAAGTAGAGAAGTGAAGGGAATCTGCCTGCAGCTCCAGCCTGGATCTCCAGATCTCCAAGGCTCCCCATCTCGACTATCAGACTGTGGGGTACTTTCATTGGAAATTTTGAGAAGCACAGCCTGAGGTGTTGAAGATAATGAAGAAAGAAAACTCAGAGGACATCTCTGAAACTACACAGCCAGGCCTAGTGGAGAAATGAAGTAGGCTCCACACTGTCTGAGCCCCACACAGTCCATGGTCTCTCCCCATCTTACTGGACCATAAGCACCCTTCATCAGCAGATGCCCACGACTGCCTCCACTGATGCCATTATCCCCACGGTGCAGCTTCTCTCTCTGCCTTATTCTCCATCTAAGTCTTTCCCTTCTCCCTCTTATGATACAACCCCTTTGTTTTTACTGATTGATCTTATGACATATCCCTTTTGTTTTTACCAGTTGACACATCTGACATTTTTTTCAATGTAAAATGTTGAAAAAAATGGATAAAATATGTTCCTGCCACTGGATTACACATTAATTTCTGAAGTCAATCTTCCTGATGTTACCAAGAATCTTTTAGGACATTGAAAAAATGTCAGATGTGTCAACTGATAACTACTCAATAGGCAACCTCACCACAGAACGGCTGAAGCACCTTGTAAACAAATTACATCTCATATTCGGACACTGTTGGTTAATGCCCCAAACTGGGCCAGTCAGTTTGAGGCAAAGTACCTGGCCTTTGTGAGTATGCAGCTTGTCTTGAGAAAAGACACTGGGTGTACATAAGATTCCCAAAAGTTCCCATGATGTGCAGACATGTCACCAGCATTGCTCTAGTGAAGAATTCTTTAGAGAAGTGAGAGGCTTGTAACACCAGCTGCCATCTGCATACACAGTGCACCAGGCACTGTGCTGAGAACTTTGCAGCCGTGATCTTATTTAATTCCTCTTAAACATTCAAGTTGAAGTTGTGTCCTATTATATTTTACATCATAAATGTCATTATATCAAAAAACATTTTTTCCTGTGCAAAATATATGTTGTACATATTCCAGTGAATAAACTTTTAACAGCTTCCATAGCATCCTCAGATTTCAATATGATTTTTAAATACCCCACTTAGAAGAAATTTCATGTTTCTTTCATCATACTTTGAGTCAGCTTAAATCACTATGTTTTTAACTATTCCACTTGCACGGAAAAATACAAAGTGATGAAAATTGCCTTTCTAAATATTTCTCCCATTGAGGAACAATTCTCAAGTTTCTATTCTTCTAGAATTCAAAGAGTTTTCAGTATTCAGGAGTATTTTCCCCATTGCTGCAAAATTCGTCCTCTTCAATACTTATTTTTTAAGTGAGCACAAAATGAAACAATGGTAGGGTTAATTGATTTTAATAGACCCACCAAAAATCATCAGCAAACATTTATGACTTTCCATTGAAGACAATTCCATCAACGTGTTGTTTCCAAACATCTTTGAAATACCCAGTGATCCCTCCAGTAGAATCTCTTATGAGACATAAAAACTACTGGCACAGAGAATAATTGAGTTTTACTTCTATCAATGAGCATTATCTAATGTTGCTTAGAGGTTTTATGAAACCAGGGAATCATCCTTTCCCATCTGTGTTTATTCCTGAAAATTGCGGCCTTGGTGTTATACAGAGACCACGATTACACAGAGAAGGCCTCAGGGGAGCAAACATGACTTCATCCTTTGAGGGAGTGCCACAGCTCACTGCCACATGCACAGAGGATTAAAAGGCAAGTGGGGAGACAAAATACTGTGATTTTAAAAAAAAAAGTACAAAGAATTAGCTCATCCAATGATGAAGACAGGACAGCAAATGCCAGATTAGCTTAATTGAGCATGCAAAATTAGATGTTCACCTTGATGAATGTAATTATTACAATTTCAAAACTGCAAATGACCTCAGGAAAAGAAACCTAGAACAGTGTCATTCCCAGTTGAAAATAGCAACAACAACAACAACCAAAAAAAAAAAAAAAAAAAAAAGCAAGCAGAGTTACCCCCAATATAATACAGAGCTGGTGACATGGTTTGGCTGTGTCCCCACCCAAATCTCACCTTGAATTGTAGTAATCCCCAGGAGTCAAGGGCAGGACCAGGGGGAGATAATTGAATCATGGGGTTGATTCTTGTGGTAGTGAATAAGTCTCACAAGATCTGATGGTTTTATACATCGTGTCCCCTGCACAAGCTCTCTTGCCTGCTGCCATATAAGGCGTGCCTTTGCTTTTCACCTTCCCTTCTGCCATGACTATGAGGCCTCCCCAGTTATGTGGAACTGTGAGTCCATTAAACCTCTTTCCTTTATAAATTACCCAATCTTGGGTACATCTTTATTAGCAGCATGAGAACAGACTAATACGGCTGGCGATAGAATGGACAAGACTCTCATTGCACCTTTCTGCCTTCACGAGGCAAGACCCACAGCACTCACACTTTCATAGATTCTGGCAACTATATCCTAGTCCTGCAGCTTTAGAGATGCAAGAGCTGCACCTCTGATCACCTGGCCTGCTTTTGAGTTTTGGCTGCAAATACTAACACTCAGGGCTTCTGACTACTTTTCTTTCCCCCCACACATAAACTTGCTACATTTCTTCCCCACCCCACTGCTTGTCCAGAAAGCTACAAATCTTTCCAGAAATATCCATATGGCATATCTCTGAAATCAGTCAGCCAGAGGTCAGTATGTATCTGTGCTTTAACTTTATGATTAGTGCCCTAAAAATATTGTTATATTCTGCATTGGGTAAAACACGCCCCTGCCCCTGGATTTCACATTAATTTCTGAAGTTAATCCTCCTGAAGTTACTGAGAATCTCCGTGTTGCTAAATCCAATGGAATCTGGTCCCTCCTCATCTTACTGGACCATCTGTAGCTTTTGGCACCACTGACTATTATTCTCTCTCTTTGAAATACCACCTTCCTTTGGTTTCCAGGAAACTGCATTCTCTTGGTTTTCCTCCTGCATGTCCCTCTCAATCTTCCTTGCTGGCTCATCCTCCTCCACTCAGTCATTAAATGTTGTAATTTCTCAAAGTTCATTTATAGTTCATTCCTTTCACACTCTATCAATACCCATGGCCATACAGAGACTCCCAAATTCTTTTGTCCAATCTTGATTGCTCTTCTGAGATCCAGAGCTATATAGCTAGATGGATGTCTCTAGTTGTCTCTATTGGGATATCAGAAAGACATGCTTCAACACTATATGCATCTAAATTCATAACATTTCCAACAATAACAACCTTAGTCTGCTTCCAGTGGTTCCTCTCTGAGTGAGTAAAACC